GGTTTGGTTTGATATTTCATTGGTGGTAGTGTCCAGAGTCACTGATGAGGAGTGGAATTCTCCGAAACTAGTCTGGCTCACAGACACACACCCCAGTGAAAGAATAGACCATTCCAAGCTTTTACCTGTTGTTAAACAAATGTTTAAACAACTCTATTTATTCAAGGCACTATAACTGTTTTACAAGAATAAAATATTAGGAAAACATAACTAATAAAATGAGATTATAGCATTCAAATGTACTTTAACTGTTGTCTTCTATTGCTAGTTGTTATTTAACTTGAACTGATAGTACTCTTTAGTGTCATCCTCAGTCACAGACTATTGGTTAAAATGTACTAATAATTTTCTTCAGTTGTTATCTTCCTTTATTAATTAATATAAACTGATAACTCTCTTAAGATGTCATCTTCAGTCATAGCCTATTAGTAAACAGGAGCTGATAATTCTTTCAGGTTTTGTCCCCAATCACAGGTCGTGTGATTGGTGCATGTGAAGTTCAAATAGGCAGTGATAAAACAACAATTACCCACTTAGAAGTCAGTGTTGTTACTGGATTGCAACTTTCTGTTCACCCAGATGATGAGATGGCCAAAGTGTTTCTGGCTGAAACAGCTATCAGTCATCATTTAACCACCCAATACCAAGTTAGTATATCATTTTCATTTAGTATTTTGTATATAATTAAAACTGAGCTTTCAGTACCAATTTCAGTAAATATCAGTATGTTTGTATAGGTGTGTAGAGTGGTATGTATGAGTGATGGGGTAGCAAACAGAAAGTGTAATATTATACTCTTCATATAACTATACTAAGTAGTGATAACAATGTGTAAAGAAATGGCATAGGGTAACATAAAAAAAAGTGTAATAGATGTGATGTTTTCCAGCTCGCAGATTTCCCTCAGAGTAGTAGTTAGAACCCACTAATTAGAGGTGTAAAGGATACCCAGCTATGAAGTGTGTTTGTTTATCTCTTCAATCTCTAACTGAGTTTGTCAGGAAGTGTGCAAGAGTAATCTTTATTTACATATAACAAATAATTAATAACTCAAAACAAAACAAGTGAAAATGGGTCTGTGGTATATATTCTTAAATAACAAGAGAGATAGAAAAACTTTTTTGAGCTTCTTTTCAACAAACTAAAACTTAAGATATAAAATTTACTAAAAGTTAAACTAAAGCTTAGCAAAAATTCTAAAGTCTTCGTAAAGTTGAGCTACCGAAAAATCTCATCAAAATATACTAAATAAAGAATAGCCCGTTGTTTAATGCAAAATATATTAACAACTTAAGCCAGATTTGCATATGAAATACTACTCTGTGCATGGCCCTGTCCAATCATGTTCAAGTGCTTGGACAGCAGAAAAGTCAGCCATTACATGATTCACTGATAGAAAATACAGCTTTCTATTCTCGAATGTCATGTGCTACCTTCACTTCAAGAAACTTGGTTAATAGCCAATTAGAAAGAGGTCTCAGATAGAGATAGGAAAAAGCAAAGTTAAGATACTTGAACAACTTTCCACATTCAAAACGAACTGGAACAAAATACACAAATTTTGAAAAAATTTACATATTAAAAAAAGGCATAGAAAACACGTTATACCATCGTATGCTGCATAGTAAACTATTTTTATCACTTTGTTAATTAGCTAGAATGCTGTGCAGTATAGTGACATTAGGTAACAAAGAACTTCTAACAATAGACTGTTCATAAGACTGCATAATAATGATAAAATGTATATAATAGTAACATAAGAGTAAAATAGATAAAATGCATATAATAGTAACATAAGAGTAAAATAAAGTAGATATATAATACAATGTTGAGTACACTATTAAAATAATTTTGAATATGCAAATCAACAAGTTGTGAGATAGTCATAGCCAATATAAAGTCTTAGTTGAATGGCATGTATTATAACTACATTTTGACATTCTTTGTCATTTTTTTAGGTAGTGTGATGCCATCAAAAATTGGTAGGTTTTGGGAAGGGTATGTAACAGTTTATAGTGCAAAACATTCATACATTCAGATCATAAAGATTTGTTCAGATTGAGGTTTAGAATTTCCAAAATGGGATTAGCCCTTATACTTAATGGCATCAGGTAAAATGGAATATGGATTAATTTAGGGTACCAGGATTATTCAGATATCATCAGCTTCATATACCAGATGGATCATGGAAACCTTGCAGAGAGGAATGGTGTTCTTTGAACATGATAGCATTTTGCAATGAAAAAATGCCAAGATATACATTCATCTGGTAGAACATGACTGGACAGGGCTATATATATTACAACATGGTGATGTTTCAAAATTTTTAATATAAAGTACTCAACCCTCTGTAGTATGCTATTCTCAATACTAATCTAATTAATGATAAAGATGTTCAGAATAGTGACATTTGTTAACATAAAGTGTAATGATAGACTGTATGTACCACTGTATTAAGTACCGATAAAGATACATAAAATAGTAACATGGGGCAATATAAAAATGATCATAATAAACTATTCATTTTACAATGTAAAAATCATGGTAGAGATGTGTAGAATAGCAACATGGGTAACTGCTTAACAATGTTACATGTACAGTCTATTATTAACATGTTCTTTATGCAAAGTATGATTAAATGCGGTGGTTAACAATAGTGCCCTATAACTAATCAGCTATTTTTAATATTGCTGACTCTGTTAGTTTGTTATAGTTGTGGTATTATATGCAGTAAAAAGTAATTAACTGAGTGTGTTGAACAGTCATAAAGATGGAGAGTATTGTTTTTTAACAGTGATAATTCTGGATAAAGATGATAAATATTCCTGTTCAGTAGTGATAATCAGTCACTGGTAAGGGTGGTAAATATTGATATTAAACAGAGACCTTTATTTGTGGGGAACCTTGACTTTATCTGAGTTTAGTGATGAAAACAAAAGGGGGGGGAATATAAAATGTTGTATAATAATCTGATTGCTAATAATGATAATTATATCTGTGTGGTAAAAATACTACTTTTCTCTACAGGAAGGACTGCTGCACATAAACATTCATTACTCTGATGGCACCATGACTTCGCTGTCTGATATCACTGAGACGGACTATCACTTGTCAGTGGACACCTTTGATAGTGGAGTTGTGGCATTTGCACCAATGGCAGGACTTCACCATCCCAGAGTGATTGCAATTGGCCAGGGCAAAGGGGATCTGTTGCATGTATCCTTGGAGTTGTCTGCCCACTGCCAGAAGCGTCGAAGTCAACCTTTGGCTATGGCTTATTCTTATGTTTATGTAAATTTTACAGAATCAACAATGACTGGCTCTGTGCTGAGTGACAGCAGGTTTCGAGGTAAACTTGGTTCTCGTGACAGACAGCTGAATAGGGTTGATGGTATTAGAGACATTAATGATGTGCTATACCAAGATGGGATTAATAGCCTTGGGAAAGGAAAGCCCTACTTCTATGAGCCAACAGTGCAAGCTCGCCAACATACAGTTGGTGGGCATCGAGTTAACTTAACCCCATTAGAAATTGGGTTGTATGCCATGTTGGGGGTTTTCTGTGTGGCTAGTCTAGTTTTTGTGGTCAGTTGCACAGTGTTTGCTGTCCGCTACAAGAGAAAGCAACTTCCTGTTGCCCAGAGTGGTGAGTCAGTAGCTCATGCCCATGACTGGGTGTGGTTGGGCAGAGCTACTCTTGAAAGGAATTCAGTCAATACTCGTTGCTCTCAGACCTTGCTCCCAATGAGTGATAGTCAGGTTAATCGGGGAGGAATTTTCCAACGCCGAGATAAAAGTTTAACTGGAAGATCAGTTGGTAGTGGTTGTCGAGCAAGCAACCTTTCTTTCCCTGGGTCTGAAATCAGCATTCACATCACCACCAACCCACAGCAGGCAGCTAATGATACAGAGGATGAAACAAGCTTGATTGAGAAAGGTACAATTAACAGCCTAGCTAATGAAAATGCTCTTCATCTCCCATCTCTTGTAGATGTTGAACCAACGAATAAAACTTCACGAGAAAAACGGGTGCGAATTCAAACCAATCTAATACCTTCTCCTGTTCTCCCGGGTAATCATGGCAAGTTGAACCTCCAGACAACCTTGTCTACCTTTAATACGCCACCTCCAGTTCCTCCCCATCAGAATCTTCCCATTCAAAGAGCAATTGGTCAAGGTTTGAAAGAAAACAAGAACCTTCTTTTGGTGGAAAATCCCTTAGCAATGGATGAAATTAACCAGATGGATTGGGATACAGTAGCCAGGGGCATGGACTATGATCAACTCATGCAGTACTTTGATAATCTGAAAGAATCTGATGCATGAGGTCCAGAAGACTTGTTAGTTTAGTGCAATAGTGAATGCAGCTCCACTAGAGAGGACAAACATTTTGATTAGGGACAGAAACTACTTTGATTATTTTCCAACCCACAAACACTGTCCCTGCCTGAAGTTTCACATTCTATGTCTCCCATTTCCAAGGGTTCAAACTTCAATAGTTAATGTATTTTGTGCATGCCTGACTAAATATTTTTAACAAACATAATAATCCATCTTTCTTTTTTTAATCTTCATCAATTATCTCTCAAATTCTCAAAACTTTCTCTAGAAAACTCGTGTTAATGTATACTTTTTTTTTTAATTAATTAATTCTTTCTTCTCTATACTTTTAAAATTTAATATTTCTTTTAACAAAGTTCTCAAAATACATTTCTAAAAGAAAATGAGTTGTCAAAAAGTAGAACTTTCTATGTTGTATCCATAGCTGTTTCTAGTGAAGAACCAGTCATTTATGATTACCATCATAATAGACTGCAACATAGGTATATACCTATATATATTCTTTGTTTTGGAGAAGTTTTTGTAGATGCTGATATAATGATTAATTTGGAATGAAAATGTCATTAGCTTTGGTTATAAGGTCACAGTTTTTTATTATTTTATTTTTTAAAGAATATGTCCATAATTTTTTGAAAGAAATGTTTATGAAATCATTCAATATATAAAATATAATTCGTATTTTTGTTTAAAGCAATAAAATATATATATATATATAACAAAATTCATAAAATTTTGAATATATCCATCATTAGTTATCAGTTGGTAAATTCTTCCCTGTCAAATGTACATGAACTGTGAGGAAAAGGACTGAAATTCTCGTTCTTCAGTTTTGTCAGTGTTGCTGTTATTTTGTCTTCCTCTATTCCTCAAAAACATAAATGAGCTTTAGTTTCTAGATGGAGTTAGTCATCGGGTCATGTTTCAAATGTTGTGTTGATTATTTATTTTATGACAATTTTAGAAACAGAAGACAAAGTGTCTTAAAAATATTAAGATGATAAAAAATATTGTCAAAGAGGTATTTCACCTCTTCCCACCTTTCTGTTGGCTTTATTTTGAAGAATGTTTCTGGTTCCCATCCCACAAATTAATATCCATCTTAGTCTCCTATGATGCTATTCTCAGGGTAATATTAGATATCAAATTAACAGCTTAAAAACAGCCTTCTCAAGTCAAGTTGTTGCCATTTTGCACATTTATTTAGAAATTTCTAACTTGATTTTTCAAGTGGTTTTTGTGATATTTATGAAATAGTTTTATGTAAAAAATACTTTGTTATGTTTAAAATATTAATTGTTATTTTTATTCTTCTTGTATTATTGTAATTTTAATTAAAATCAATTTTTTTTTTCTACTTATGCTTAGTGTAATACCTAGAAATAGCACTGATTGATACAAAGTAATGTTCTAGATACTTAAGCATGCAACATAACAGATACTGAGTTTAAAGTGAAGTTTTCTATGAATACCTCTTGTTGAGGTTGACATTCCATGTTTTGAACTAAGTGTTAACCAGTTGGAAACTGAAAACAGTTTCAATATTTAGTTTCAGACCAAGGACTCTGAAAGTGGTATGTAAGTGCAAGATGTTTTACAAGAGGCTTTCTACATCATTAGATCATGTTACAAAAACTAATACATCATATTAGTGGATATGTTGGTGGGTGTTGCCAAAAGGCATGAAAAATCAGTAATTGTAATAGAGTTTTGTGTATACATATCTATGTTTTCACTTAACTATTTAAAAACTTTATTATTATTGCATTATAAATGGTATAGTAGAGGGAAACGTAAATAAAAATATTGGTGAAAAATATTTTTAGCTTTGTATCGATTCCCATTGTAAGAAAGGTACAACTTTACTGAATGTACTCCATAAATTTACCTTATACCACTATGTTCTAAATGAAAACGTGCAAAAAAGCATTATATATTTTTATGTAGTGTGAAAAACTAACGAGATCAGAGATTACTAGAAATTGATATTTAATGTAAGTTTGAATTTGTAATCTCTCTCTTTCTCTCCAATAGACAATACAAGTATTTTCAAGTTACTGTGAGGTCTAGTTTTAAATATTTTTAGATTAAAAAAACATCAATAAATGAAGTATCCTTAAATTATAAGTTATTATTGGTGCTACATGTAGCTTAATTATTTGAAGCTCTAACTTGCAGTGAATGTTACATAGTGGCATCTACTATTACGTCCAAACTTTTGGCACTTCTCTACTTTCCTATTATGGATTTTTCTAAACCTGTATTATTTAAACTCATTTTTGCCTTTGTGTGTTGACCCCTAGTGGCTCAGTGATAATTCTGTAGGCATACGATGCTAAAAATTGGGTTTCATTTGTCGTGGTGGGAAGAGCACAGATAGTGCATTGTGTAGCTTTACAACAATGAAATCAAATCTTTGTGTATTATAGCAAGAAAAAAATACATATTAATCCCAGTTTTAAAATAACCCAGTGAGTGGAATATGAGACATTTTGAGTAAAGCTATCTCACAGTGAGCTTCTGCGAATCTTAAAATATAATGTTTTCTGTGCCATGGAAAGTTAGTTACACCATAGGTTGCAGTTGAAGTTTATAAAACTGTTTTATGAATATTGTGTCAAAGTGAGAATTTTATTTGAATATTGTGTCTCAAAAGGACTTTCTGGTCAACTAAAGATATTTAGCAAATCAAGTTGTGGTTTTATACTGAAAAATCGTTTGTTTAAGTCTTCAAACATTTAGTAACAATTTAGTTTTGTTGCGTTAACATAAGAATTTAACACCAGTTAAAGCCCTCATCCACTTAACGATTTTGCTAAATTGTTTTTAAAATGTGTGACAAGAACTTAACCTTATTATTAAATGTTAAAATATTTTATTTTTGACGAAGCCAAGATTGAGGCCACTTAACATGATACATAATGTTGTTATAGTGAGGAGTTAAAACTATTCAACAACTTAATTTTTCATATCAAACTTGTACTGTACGTTATAATGAACCTAATCATTCATTCAGGTAACATCTTAGAGAAATCTGGTGTCATCTATGTTTCTTCTCTGTAGTTCGTATCTTGTACGCCATGTAATATTGTGATTGGTAAGACTGTATACAAATTCATGAATAAAAAAACAAGAAAACGTATTCACTTGTGAATGTCGAAATAACTTTCTAATCCGATATTGAAATATTTATTACTCGATTAATTATGTTTGTTTTCTTAATTATATATGAATAATTTTACTATCCAAAAAAGAGTGATTACTGAATTAATAACATTTGCTTTCTTACTGGTATATGAAACGCCCATTACTGAATTAATAATGTTTATTTTCTCACATGCATATAAATAACTTTATAATCTGAACATGAAAAAGCTTATTACTGAATTAATAATGTTAGTTTTAGGATTGTTATATTAACTTTGTTATTAGAAAAGGTTGATTACTGAATTAATAACGTTCGTTTTCTTTCTTGTATATCCGTAGTTTTATTATCCGAACATGAAACATGCATTGCTGAATTAATAAGGTTTGTTTCTCAGTTTTATAATATTAACCTTATTATCCGAACGTGAAGCACACATTATTTAAGTCATTTAGCCATTTATGATGATAAACATCAAAATATGAGGCATCAAGATACTGCTACTTGAGATATGGAATGCCAGTATATGAAGCTACAGGCAACACACCATTATCATTGATATTTGTGAGAGAACTTAAAAGTGCCGTTGGGCCTTGTGTACTCGTATTTGGTGGACAATCACTTAGTGGGTTCTTACGTAGAGTATGCAGAGAGAAACTAAGAAACACCATTGATGTCGTACATGATTTTTACCCAGGAAAGACTTAAATCAGCTAGTGATAGAATTAAAGGTTTCTATGATGATAATGTCGATAAGACTCAATTCGATCGAGGTGGTGTGGTATGATTGTACAATCCTTATTGCAAAACAGGATGAACTCCAAAGTTAAGCAGATGTTGGGAAGGACCATATGATATACTGAAAATAATCAAATGTGTGGTTTACAGATTCCAGAAGAGGAGCTGATCCAAACCACAGGTCAACAACCATGATCGTTATTGAAAGTATGTTGTTGAGAGAGTGGCGAGCTGAGTAACTTCAAAGAAGAATTTACCAGCAGGAAGACAAGCTGCTTAAGAGCCCAAGACTGCCAGTGGAATCACTTGTCCACCTATCAAGGGAGAATTCTCCTAATTACAGGACAGCATACCATAACACCAGAAAAAGAAAACTGTCAAAAAGCAAGGGAGCAGTGATGTGAGCTGTATTTTTAACACTTTAATTTAGGTGTTTGTAGCTACAGGGAACGTGTCATGAAGATGCAAGATCTAGAAATTTCTTGTACTAGGTAGCAATAAGAGTAAAATGTAAGTACCAAACAGAGTCGATTATTCAGTTAATGAACTTTTCAGTTCAATGTCAGCTAACAACTTAGGCAGTGAAAATTATTGTATCTGTTCTCCCATGATTCAGTTAGCATGTTTGCTATTGATTGATTTGGAGGGAATTCTACAAGTATGTTTATTTATGAGTTAGATGTGCATTAGTTTTGGCGATTCTGTTGAAACATTGGTTTTGAAGTTAAGCCTACAGGTGAATGTAATCTGTAGAAATCATTATTGAAGAAATAATATATTTTGTTATTGTTACACGGACTGGGCTTGGCATTATTTTTGCCAAATAATCTGAAAGAACCTGTCCAATGATAGAACAAGTTAAAACAGTATGTTTATATATCACGCATTTCTTTTTTTCTTCAGGCTTGGCCTTAGGCCGACAATTAATTTAATTTTAATATTAATAAATTCTATACACATGCCATGGTCTAGGAATATGATAACATTCTCTTCCTCCTGTAATCACTTACTTACATACAACACAGATGTCAACCTTTTAACAAAGAAAAGCCATAATAATCAAGTACACAGTGAAAAACCCTTTAACATTGATAATCTATACAAAATCACAAACCCTTTAACAATAATGTGCAATCCAGTCAAAATTCAACATCATAATGCAAGCTCTTTGGCATAAACGAAAATAAAAACATACTTCGTTCCCATGCTGATGCATAAGGCCAGCGATCTCTCTAGACCACTCGCAGAGATCGAGGCACCTTCATTGATCCAGAAAGTCCTTACAGTCAGAATTATTACTTGTGCTGTTACTGTAGAGTAAACACAATTCCCTCACCTCGCATGGATAAACTATATGCTCTTCAGGTGTACTAGGAAAATCTAGTGAAGACCATGTAGTTCATAGAGTTCTTTCCATGCAACATGAGCAAATAATTGATTCCTGATAAACGTCAAATGTCATTTTGCTAAAGGAAATCACTCGGTAGCTTGGAAAGCAAGGGTCAGAATGTTCTTTCAGTCAAATTGTGCTAAGTGTTGATGTACTAGGCATTACTGGAACAAGTCATTCTAAACTGTGTTAGTCGAGCAGCTTGCATTTGATACCCTATAGCTCTTATAGTGAAACTACTTAAAAGCTTGGAAAGTAAGGAGTGCAAAGCCTTTTCAGTCTAGCTGATCTTATGGTCAACAAACTGTCTTAACTCATTGTAATTGACTAAGAATCATACAATGAACCTTACAAACCACTTAATATATGAAAAAGCAAGAATCACAATGCCCTTAAAGCTGAATTTTTAAACTCCTAGTTATCATCTTAAGTTGTACAAACTGTACACTAGGCATTACATCCACTGGCACCAGCCTTTCTAGCTTCTTAATGATTAAGTTTAATCTGAGTCATATCAATCAGGAGGCAATTCTTGGTGGATCAACTGATTGTTGAAGCTGCCTCTTGTCTCTAGATATGACACTTTCTCATATGACTCATCCTTAATGGCCAGATAAATACTCTCTTCCTCATCTTATGAATCAAAGAGGAACACAACAGTGCTCCTGTACTTCTCTAACTCGCTGGTCTTCTCTTCTGACTAGTGGTCATGCCATTTCATTGACAACATACAGAGACAACTGGTCAGTGTGTCAGTGCCTCTCAATTGCTGTAACTTCTACATCAACTCTTCATACAGGGTCGACCGAGCTGACTGACCTTATAACCACAAAGTAATTATCAGATTTTCCATACTATCATTTTAAATGTTGTGTGTACCATCACGAAAGTGGGCAAGCTTTCAGTAAACATTGAGACTTTTGCAAAGATAAAAATTAGATTTTTTTTTAAATTAAGATTAAAAATATATTTCTTCCTCTGAAAATTTTCAAATTTAGTTTTTGTAACCTCTAAAACCTTCCAAATAAATATAAAACCCTTTTTTCAGTCAAACTATATTTGTTATGTTATTTTCTATACCTTAACTCCATACAGTAAGTGTAACCACCATAAAAAAACGAAATAAATCTAAATTTCTGCAAATTGTAACAGTTGTTTATTTTAAATAGCTTAAGGCTCCTAACAGTCTACATCTCTTTATTTTTCGTTACCTTACATAGTAAGTTTAATTTTTACAATTTAGTTATTTTTATAATAATAAACAAAAATTATACATGAAAAAAAGAAATATAGTACCTACCTTTGATATCTTGTTTCTTTGTTGTCGGTTACTGATGAAATGTAAGCCTACTTTTTTATGCTAGTGGTTTTAGTTCACTAAATAATTTTTATTTACTCAAAAAATGCACCTAAGAACACTGAATAATAACATGTACAAAATAATTCCCAAAGCTTCTCGATCTGAGTTCTGCAAGAGAAACTTTCAAACTGAAGACGAAATAGACAATACTATGTATCGAAAACAACGTAATATAATACATCATTTGATAAATTAAAACCTTGCCTTTTTATTGGTTATAAATAATATAGAATTAAAACGTCAGAGAGAACTATTGGAAATTTTGTGAACGATGGGTATGGCAGATGAGTGATTTTCTAGACTATGACTCCATAAACAAATAAGATTGAAGAATGTAGTAAATAGACTTAGATATCTTAGTAATATCTACATTATAATGAGCAATTTACTTTAAGTTCAGTACATCATAAATGGATGGTAAATAACTAAGAGAAGGAAGAAGACCTAGAGAACAAATGTCACAATTATCATATTAGGGAAGATTGAATATCTATTATGATTAAGAACTTAAAATGTATATAATATAAAAATCTTATTTGTTAAATGTTTTGATGTCAAATTTATTCTTATACGTTGATAACAGTTTAAGTTTTGAATGTACACTAAGTGGTCACAAGTAAATAGATACCTAATTTTACGTCATTTAACTGATTTATGCTAACTAATTTGTGTTCACAGAGCACTATATAAATGAAAATGGTTCGCACACTAATTATCTTGTGCTACAACATGCCAAGAACTCAAGATTCTCTCGAATTGTCAGATTTTGTTAGAGGAAGGATAGTTGGTCAAGCAGATGGTGGAATAAGTCAGCGGCAAACTTCGCAGAATTTGGGAATCCCACTTTCAACAGTCAACAGAATCATCGTGCAGTTCAGGAAACAATTGAGCAACGTCCGAGTCATCCTGGTCCATCG